AATATGTGGTAAATTTGGTACCACCAAATCTAATCCATACCAACTGTTGAACCCCCGGATCTCCCCGCTCCATCTGTTCGGAAAGTTCTGACTCGAAATAATCTGTCATGCTGTGAGTACATCCAACACTACCAAACCAAGACGCTCGAAGGCATTTTCACAGTGGTTGCGCGCTAAAAAAAGGTTTTCCCATCCAGAATCAGTGTTGCTGGTTGAAAAAACGCGTGACAAGGTCGAGAACACAAACTGGTACTGCCGAAAGTACAATGGGGCAGAAACAACTATTTTCCCAAGCTAGTTAGGTTCCCCACACAGCAAAGCGACAGAGCGCTTCCCGAGGTCACTATAAGTCCAATGGCAATACTAACACAGATACAAACAGGCGCGTATCGTGCGGCGGGTGAAACCGTGCATCCCGAATCTCACCTGCTGCGCTTTTACCACACTGGATGCTCCGGGCGACAAAGTGCGACCACCGCCGATCGACACCAGATGGATCCCCGGAGGATCCAAGCGCGCCAACCCAGCCTTATAAACATAGGGCACACGTCGTGAAGAGTGCGGGCAGTCGCATGTGGCGTGCTTCTCCAAAATCTGCGGAGATAGCCGGAAAAGGGCAAGAAAAGGTTGGAAAATCAGCCCCACATACAAACTTACCGGAGGTACATCTGTCTCTCACCAGCGTACAAAAAGCCGATCGTAAAACTCCGGCAAGTGCACGATTGAGAACCGTGGCGCTGGAGTCTACATTGGCATGATTGATCTTGTACGTTCTATGCTCTTCAACGAGACACACCGTCCCTGACAATAAGGGCTCTCACCGTTATCCTCCAATCAACCGCAGAACCGGCCAGAGACTACATACAGGCGCTCTCCGGGGGGCGTGTCTGCTGAGGAGGCATCTAAGCAAAGAGGAAGACGGGAACGAGAGAGCGACAGAGCGAATGCGCAGGGGGAAAAAACAGAACCAGCAGAAGTAAGCAAAACCAAGAGGCAAAACGCACGCGAAGAGCACACACTCGCTGCTGCCTCTACCCCTATACTTGTGCTTTCTCCATCTACGCGTNCAGAGCGAATGCGCAGGGGGAAAAAACAGAACCAGCAGAAGTAAGCAAAACCAAGAGGCAAAACGCACGCGAAGAGCACACACTCGCTGCTGCCTCTACCCCTATACTTGTGCTTTCTCCATCTACGCGTGGTTGTTCTCTCTTGTCTTTCTACTCTCTCGGTCAGCAGATCCAGCAAGTCACTACTCGGAACGGATGGTGAGGAAATGGTCACATATTCGGAACGCATGTGCTTTGAACGGAGAGACCAGGCCCAATATATTCCCAACGAGCAGGAGATAAGGGTGGATCGTGCCACAAACGTGCCGCTGGAAATTATGAAACCACATAACCTCACCTGCTGTGCTTCCCACCGACACAAGACCTTCTTGTTCCCCGCGCCGAAAGAACGAGATGACCGACGACCGGCAGCGGATTTATCACCACGGTACCAAGCGCAATCCAGCCGCGCTTAAAAGGGGCACGGGAAGCCGCACGTGGCGTGCTTCCAAAGTGCTGTGGTCGTCGGGGGGGATGCGCGTGCGAGAGAGACAGACACACAGAGAGAGAGGGAGCGAAAGGGAGCGGGAAAAGGGGCGGGAAATAGCGCATCACATGAGAGAAAACAATCACGGGGTGACAGGCAACACGCGACCTTTTGCGCATCTCTTGGTCACGCAGAAGTACGAGGCACCTTGCTTCAAGATCACCCTTCTCCTCGAACATGCGCACACCACCATGGATCACCGCTGCGTGATCAACAAGGGGGTGGCCCCCATAACCACAGGAGAGCTGCAGCAGTACCACAAGATTGTATGCCGCTTCGGGTATCGCAGGGTTCGAAGATGTAGTATCAGTTTCAAGTTTGCATGAAAGTACCGTTGGGCAGAGAGGAGTCATGGGACATGTGTAGGGCAACGATACCATTGAAGCAGGCCAAAATATTGCGACAAATTGGACACAGCGGCAAATCAATAAGATGTAGCATGGATCAAAGCACTTGTTGGATTTCAGCTTTTACAAGCGGACATCAACGCAGTAGTATTTTAGCAAGCTTACGAACGCATATAGGATACCATCAGGATTGTCATTGGTTTTATTTCAAGTTGAAGAGGAGATATTTTTACGATGTAAATGACAGTAGAAATAAGTCCTACATATGTTGTTGTCAGAGTATATTCCGCTGTACACTAGCAGCAGTACGATGC